GTGACTGAGACCCCTCCAGACTCCAGCTGCGTCTGCCAGGGTACAGGTGAAGAGATCCTGAGCTGGGCCCTACCAGAAGCCATGGAGAGGCTAAGGATAACTTTCCTGCTGTGGAATATCAAGCACACAGTAAAAATAGCTGTTTCCTCTTTATATTTATCTATGGCAAGATCAACAGTGAGTGTGGTCATTTGTACCTCTGCCTCATACGTTCATGAGCATGTGGAAGACTTCTCCATCTTTCTGGAAGGAATGAGACAATAATAAGATGGTGTCTCAGTATGTCTGTTCCCTGTCCATAGCAGACATCACTAATCAATGCTGGTTTTATGCTGCCGTGTCTAGGTAGTTGCTACCTATGCTAGATATTACTAATCAAACACTGACTGTTTGATTAAACAAAATCATTTATGGCTCAAGGTCTTCACAGGTCCAGACCTCAGCCCTCCTTCCTCAGACTAATGGGTCCAGGTCCAACCTCCCTCACTCAGACCTGAGTCTCCACCCTCAGGTCCAAGGGCCCAGGTTCAAGGCCTCCTCCCTCAGACCCAGGGGTCCAGGCCCCAATCTTCCTTCACATCCAGGAATCAGATGTCCCGACCTCCTCCCCACGCCTCACCCCACAGCTCCGGGAAGGTCTCGCTCTGCTCTGGAGGGAGGGGGAAAGGATGCAAGAGGGAAGAGGGGAGCCCAGAGAGCGCACCCTGAGTACCTACTCATTCTTCTCAGTCACACCGTGGGCTTAAGGAATCGTGGCAAGCCCACCAATCCAGAAATGTGAAGGACAACCACTCCTAATGGAAGCCATTCCTCCCCAACCACTGCAGTAACCCGAATCCAGCCCCCACCACTGTGGATTGAAGCTAAGACTTCATAAGGGCTAGGCAAGCACTCTGCAGATGAACTGCATCCCAGTTCCTTTTTTAATTAAAAATTTTCAGTTATTTATTTTTATTTTATGTGTATGAGTGTGTTGCCTGCATGTATGTGAGTGCACCTGTGTTGTGCAATGCCACGGAAGTCAGAAGAGGGCTTTGGATTCCCCTGGAACTGGATTTAAGGGCGGTTTGTAGCCACCATGTGGGTGCTGGGAATCGAACCCAGGTCCTCTGCAAGAGCAGCCAGTGCTCTTAACCACTGACCTATCTCTCCAGCCCCAGTCATTACAATTTCTTATGTGCATGTATGTATGTGTGTGGGTTACACGTGCCAAGGTATGTGTGTGGCAGTCAGAGGACAACTTGCAGGAGTCAGTTCTCTCCATCCACTATGTGGATTATAGGATCAAATTCAGGTCCTCAGGTTTGGAGGCAAGCATCTTTTTATCTGCTGAGGCCATCTGGCCCTTCTGCACCACCCCAACCCTCTTTTTACTTAAAAAAAATTAATTTTTATCTTTTTGAAGCAGGGTCTCCCTGTAGCCCCAGCTGTTCTGGAACTCACTATGTACACCAGGCTGGCCTTGAACTCACAGAGATCCACCTGCCTCTGCCAAGTGCTGGGACTACAGTTGTGTGCCACCATGCCTGGCTTAATTTTACTTATTTTTTTATGTTCATGTGTGTTGCCTGTGTGTAAGTACCTAGAATCCCCCAGTGGGGGGCTGGGGTGTGGCTCAGTGGTAGAGCCCCTGCCTAGAATCCCCCAGTGAAGGGCTGGGGGCGTGGCTCAGTGGTAGAGACCTGCCTAGAATCTATTATTGAGGGGCAGGGTGCATAGTTCAGTGGTAGAGCCTCTGCCTAGAATCCCCCAGTGAGGGGCTGGGGGTGCGGTTAGAGGTCCATTGCTTGCCCAGCTGGTGAGTGCATGGATTCATTCATGGGTAAGGAAATTCTCTCTGACTCCTCACAGCAATCACACAGTAGGTATTAGTACTATCTCAGTTTTTTTCTTCTGAGGAAACAGGTTCAGGGTGAGTGAATGGATTAGTGGTGGGTGGATGAATTTCCCTGGGAAGGAGTCCAGGGTGTTCAGCATTAACTGTAGCTCCTTCTGACCTGGAGTTGAACATTGTTCTTGACTTCAGCCCATATCCCCACTTTCTCCCCCAGCAAGGAGTACTGGGGCCAGGTCTCCAAGCTGTTGAATATTTATTTGACCCTAGGAGCAGTGCAGGGGTCAAGCTGTGTGGAAATGAGCTAACAGACTGGGGGAAAGGGGATAATGGACTTTTCAGTTGATTGTCAGAGCAGAGGGTGGGACCCTGGGGCAGGGGTGCCAGACTTTCCCTCCCAGGGATCCCTGGGGTTTCTGGGTATGGGGGGATTGGGAGTTGGAAACCTATCCCGAGTCGGGGTGAAAAGACAGGAACAGATGCTACGGTTGTTGGGAGGGTGTGGGAGAGGCTCAGGGGCCTGGGCTCAAGGGATCCAGGTGCTTGCTGGAGGGAAATCAGGGTGCAGCCAGTGGCCTAGCTCGGTCAGGGGGCCTCAGCGAGTGCCACTGGGCGATGGGTCGTCTGGGGTTGGCCAGCATGTCTGCCCAGTGCCGCAGCCCAGCCCCACCAACTGCTGCGCCCACTGCTACTCTCCCGATGGCTTCATTCTTGCCCAGCTTGTCATAGTCCAATACAGTCAGCTCCACCTGGACCTTCTGTGAGGGGGTGGGGGGAGAGGAGATAGAGGATGAGGAAGGAGGTGTGGGAAAGGTACATGGGTCATGGCTAATTTGTCCTTTCCCTGTGACCAGGCTGTGGAGGAGCCTGGCTGAAGGAGCTCAGGACAGGGAGCCGTGGGGTTGGAAACCTGAACCTTTTGTTCACTGAAAACTAATTTCTAAGGAGATAAATACACAGGACCCTTTGCTAAGAGGCTGCTAGGAGCCTCCTTAGGGTGCAGGGCTGAAGAGAGACAAACCTGTGGACCTGATATGGGTGCAGTAGCCAAGTCATAGCCCGGCAGGGCTTAGGGCTTGTCTCTAAGTTAGAGGAAGTCTCTTTCCCTTTAACCCACTTTCTGAGAGAGGGGCAACCCAGTCATGAAGGAGAGGGACACTTTGGTTTTCCTCAGGGTGGGGCATTCTTGCCTGCAGTGGGGAGGGGCTTCCTGGTCATGCAAGGGTAAAACATTCTGGTTTCTGTGCCCAGGGCATCCTGGTCTTGTTGGGGGCGTGGCTTCTTGGGGACAGGCATCTTGATCCAGATCTACAAGTCTTGCTTAGGGGAGAGCATGCCCAAGCCAGGTGTTATGGCTAGACCTCCTAGTCTTTACAGGAGGAAACAGAGATGGACAGCATCACCTCAGACCTTGGGATCTAGTTTCTACGGTGATGCTCAAACTCTCCTTTCTCCTTGGGACCGGGCCCTAGGGCTTCTGTGGAGGAGCTGTCCTCCATCTGCACCCACCTGGACTTGGTCACAGGGCACCTCAAAGCTGAAGGCCTCGTTGTAGTAAGGGTTCAGTGTGTTCTTCTTGATGGTGGTTTTCTTCTTCCGCACCTTTTTGCCCCCCTGTAGCAGGTGCACCTTGACATATGGATCTGGGGAGAAGGAGTCTTATAACCCCCCATGGCTTGGCTCAGGGGGATCAGACTGTAGGGAAAGAATGAGAACCTCCACCAAGTCACCCCACACACCCCTCAGATCTGTCTCCTCTGTGCCCAGATCGAATCTGTAGCCTCTGGAGTCCCCCTCTCCCCCAGGAAACCCTCTGGGCCCAGAAGCTGTTAGAACCTTGGGCAGAAGCCCCCCCATACATACACATGTACCTTCGTTTGTTTCCAACACACCTGACAGTCTTCCTACACACATACACATACACACACGTACAGTATTCCCCCACACACCTGAGAGACCACCTACGTCCATCTTCTTCAGGTTTTTAGCTTCTAGGACAATTACGGTGAGCTTCCCAGCAGTGGGAACATAGCGGAGAGAGAAGCAGATGTCCCCCAGTTTCTCTTGCTAAAAGACAATGGAACCTATCACCCAAGTTCAGCCACTGCCTTTCCTCCACCCACTCGCCTAGAATGGAATGGTCCAGAGTCAAGCACCCCATGTCAATCTATTCCTTGGAGTTAGCTAGCTTGTGCAAAGGACCTGCATAGAAGAGGAACTGCAAAGCCTGTGATCTGGTTGGCCCAGGGTAGGGATGGGTGGGTCCTCAGCCTGGGCACAGACTTACCTCCTCTTTGGGAGCTGCCTGCAGCTCTCGCCAGGCCTGCACAGGCCTTCCCAAGTCCACGGAGCTCATGGGGACCCGTACCTCCCCAATGGCATCGTTGCGGGAGAAGCGATCAAAGTCATACACTGCCATGACAAGCACCCTGCCCCCCAGCTCTACGTATGGGACCTGGTGGAGGGTGGAAGAATGCAAAGTGGAGAGAAGGAAGTCAGAAAGAGTAAGTGGAGAACAGTATCTTCAGGTGGAAGAAGAGTTGGGCAGTGAGGGTTCAAGAAACCCCATAAAATACCAGGATTCACAATGTGAGAGGGGAAGTCATGTTTTAACTGACTAATATGAGCACTCAAAGACCAAGGCAATACACAGCCCAGGCATTGACAGTGCCCCAAGGGATGATTCAGGAACCCAAGAAACAGCTTCCCACCTCCCACATACACACAAGCTGCCACCTGAGCTGTGTCTGTTTCCAGAAAAAGCTAAAGGGGTCAGTCCTCCGTGCTCCAGGGACTAAGCACAGGCCAAAGACCATGGGGCCAAGGACAGGAACTCACCTTGAAGGCAAAGGTCTCCCCAAAGTGTGGGTTCAGTGTCTGCCGATGCACCTTGGTCTCATGCCGCCTCCGCTTGTCCGGCAGCAGGTAGACACTAACATAGGGGTCTGAGGAACCTCCTAGGTCCAACGCTGCCAGTCCCTCAGCTTGCAAGATGCCCACCAGGAGCTACAGGTGCCCAGACACAGCAAGGGGAACCCTAGTCTCAGCCTCCCTCCCAGGGTCGCCTCTAGGAAGGGGCTAGGGCCCCTGAGACCCTCCCCTCTAAAGCACTGGCTCTCCATCACACCCACCTGACCAGTCTGGAAGTCATAGTCCAGTGAGTACTGTAGTCGGCCTAAGTCATGCTTTTCTGCTACCTGCTGTCCTGGCAGAGACGGTGTGGGATCCAGCTCCTCCACTTCGGGCTGAACCTACAGGGGCAAGGAAGGACAGGTGAAGTCTGTACCCAAAAGTAATACCCTCCAGGCTCAGAAGCCTCGTTAGGCACATGGATCTCTCCCTTGATCCATAAATGATTGCTTGTCTAAACAAGGTCAGTGTTTGATTAGTAATGTCTGGCACAGGCAGGAACTAGATATCTCAACAAGGCAGCATATTTGTTGGTGTTTGATAGGTGATGTCTGCTATGGACAAGGAGTAGATAGAGTGAAACACTGTGCTAATACTGTCTCATTCCTCCAGAAAAGATGCAGAAGTCGTCCACATGCTCATGAATGGTAGCAGTACAAATGGCCACACTCACTGTTGATCTTGCCACAGGAAAATGTGAAGAGAAATGGTCTAAGTGCTGTATGTTTTATTCTATGGCAGAAAAGTTTTCTTTAACCTAGGCCATCAATTTTCAAAGTCTGGAGTGAATCTGATTTCCCCCAGAGATTTGTGGGGTGGCCTAAGGTATGTCTCTATGGACTTTGACTCAGTAGGTCTGTGTGCATTACACCCAGAAATGACATTTAAACAAAGATGAAGGTAATTCTGATGCAGTCTGTTTTTTTCTGAGGCAAGGTCTTCCTGTAGCCCCAACTGTCCTGGAACTTACTATGTAGACCAGGCTGGCTCCAGCCTCACAGAGATCTGCTTACCTCTGCCTGCCTCTGCCTCCCAAGTGTAAGGATTCAAAGTGTGGACCACCACCTCCAGTTCACAGATGGTCTGAAATCACTGGCTGGGTGTGAAGATCCCAAAGGGAATCCTCACAGGTCAGAATTACAACAGCTGCTTGTTGAGAAGGAAGGTGGGAAGACACTGGTCAGTCCCCATGAACGGAAGGCTCAGAGGACAACAGTGAGGCTCCCAAGATTGCACCGCTGACAAATGGTCCCCCAAGGCTGGAAACTTCAGGACTGCCTGGCTTCTGAGCCTGCATCCCACTCTGCACTCAGAGGCCTAATGTTCAGTTCTACCATTGTCTTTGAAAAATATTTTATTTTATTATTTTTTATATGGTTTTTTTTGAGACAGGGTCTCCCTGCAGCCCCAGCTGGCCTGGAACTCACTATGTAGACCAGGCTGGCCTTGAATTCACAGAGATCTGCCTGCCTCTGCCTCCCAAGTGCTGGAACTACAGGCGTGTGCCACAACGGCCAGCTAAAAATATTTTATTTTTAATTTTTATGTGTATGTGTGTATTGCCTGCATGTTGGTAAGTGCACTCATGTTGTGCAATGCCCAAGAGGACAGAAGAAGGCATTGAATCCCCGGAACTGCAGTTACAGACAGTTGTTAGCTGCCATGTGGGTGATAGGATTCGAACCTGGGTCTTCTGCAAGAACAACCAGTGTTCTTAACCTCTGGGCCATCTGTCCAGCTCCATCAGTCCTACCATTGTCTTTTAATTGATTAATTAAACTTTTTTGAGATAGGGTCTCCTTGTAGCCCCATCTGGCCTGGAACTTGCTATGTAGATCAGGCTGGCCCCAACCTCATAGAGATCTGCCTGCCCCTGCCTCCTGAGTACTGGGATCAAAAGTGTGTGCCACGAAGCCTGGGTGTCTTTTATTTTTGAATGATCCATCCTAACTCCTCTCTAATTCTGTGTGTGTGTGTGTGGTGTGCATGTGTGGGGTGCATCCATCTGCTCCCCTGCATGTGAAGACTGGAGGTCGACATTAGGTATCATCCTGTGCCAGTTTCCACTTTATTTTTTGAGACAGGCTCTCTCACTAAACCTAGAGTTTGCCTTTTCTGTTAGACAAGCTGGCTAGCAAGCTCCAGGGACCTGCCTGTCTCTTGAGACAGCTCCTTCCCCTCTCTCCTCCCACAGCTGGGGTTACAGGTTTGAGCGGCCACACCCAGATTTTAACAGTTGTGAGGGATCAGAATTCAGGTTCTTGCACTTGCACAGCAACACTTTGCCCAATGAGTCATCTCTCTAGACCTGTTTTTGATTACTATTATTTGGAAAAAAAGGTCTCACTCTGTTTCTCAGGGTGGCCTTGAGGGCACTATATAGCACTGGGTGGCATTGAACCCGCAGTGATTTCTCTGTCTCAGCCTCTCCAAGAGCTAGAATTACATGTGTACACTACCACACCCAGCTCAGACGTGAAAGCTCTTGTTATAGTGACTAGAGCTGATCTCTAGAGGTCAGTGGATTAACTGGGCTTAAGAAGGGAAGGAAGGGCTGGGAACTAATGGCTCAGCAGTTAAGAGCACTGGCTTCTCTAGGGGAGGACTTGGGGATTGATTCCCAGCACTCACATGACAGCTAACAACCTAACCTTAACTCCAGTTCCAGGGGATCTGACTCCCTCTTCTGGCCTCCACAGGCATTGAACAACAAGGGCACACAACATACATGCAGGCAACACATTCATACATATGATATAAAAAATAAATAAAAATTAAACCAGGGAGGATCCAGGGATTGAGGTTGGCTGGGTTATTGAGAGGAAAAGGACATGCAAAGGAAGGTTGAGGGGCCAGGCCAGGCCATACCTTGTCTATGTAACTCCGGCCTAGCTCCTTCACTTCTTGAAGGTGGACTTGGGCTTGGGCCTGGGTCTTCTTGCCCATCCGCCTCCGACATCGCTTCCGGTAGAGACAGAAACAGCCGCTGAAGAGCAGGAGGCCTGAGCCCAGCACGATGGTGGCCAGGGCCCAGGCAGGCACTAGAGGAAGATGAACATGTTGCAGGCTGGCTAATCCAGTCTGGATTCCAGGTGGTGGCTGGAATCGTAGCCTGGTTTTCCTTCCAGCCGACCTCACCTACAAAGCTTAGTTGGTACCCTCACTTTAATTTCTGCTCAACCCTTAATGTTTTTAGCAGAAGCCTTGCCCTTGCCTGGGCCTTGTTAAGGTTCACATAGCCCTGGCCCCTCACCAACAGGGTCTCAAGGACTTCTCATGCTCCTGAGAAAAGGGAACCTAGCTGATAAGCACCCTGGTCTTTGAAGTCAAGAGAAGCAGACTTTTCTCCATTGTTTGGCCAACACAGCAGGCTTCCCCTTTGATCTCTAAAGAGAACAGATTTTAAAAGTTGTGTCTGGTGTCCCGTTCGCCAACCCCCCCAACTTTAAAAGACAAAACAAAACCTTTTCCCGCCTTCTGCAGGAAGCAGAAGCCTCCCTTTTAAAAAGACCCCAGCTCACGACCGGGGCAGACATTTTCCCTGCAGGGAAGGGAATCTGTCCCATGTGTTCCTTTGCTAATAAACTCTGCTTTCTCCTGATCAACCCTATTTGTCGTACAGCTACTTTTTATCTATCAGTCCTGAGTTTCCCAATCTATAAATAAGGGAAATAAACTTTCCCATCAGCTATGATCCCATTCCATACTACACCCCTTGATCCGTTTCTGGTTTTCCTTGCAAACCTGATCTCTCTTTTCCCCACATTTCATTCAGATTTCAGTCCGGGATGCCCACCCTGCCAGATTTTCCAGCCCTCCAACTGGAGTTCTTGCATCCAAGTCCTGCCCCAGGGGATCCAGTCGGGCTGTGGGTGGGGTACCCGCCCAGGGTCTTCTTACCTGCGCCCTGGCGGATGCGACTGGAGTCTGGAGGGGCCTCAGGTGCTGGAGGCCCCAGGGTCGGGGGTTCCGGGAACATGGCGTCGAGATCCTACTGTGCTTCCTGTAGAGGCACCCAAGCGCTCAAGCCCCCCCTACCCCAGTCATCCTTTGAGTCCCCCGCACAATAAAGAACCCCAATTAACCACTGGCTTTCTGTGCACTTTGGAAGCTAATCTTACCCTCTCCACAGTGTAGGTCGGGCCTTTGGAGAGCCAAATGCACCCCAAAAGAACGCCCCCTCCTTGCAAGGCACCCCCCAAACCCAGGCATCCTTGCAACCTGTGCCCCTTCTTGCCCTTCCCAGGGCCTAAACCGGAAGTGGGCGAAAGCAGGCGTGGGAAACAGAGCACCCCTGTTGCCTAGAGCAACAGTCAGGCTCCAATCCGGCGGGGTGGGAACAAGGTTGGCTGCTGGGCAACGAGCCTGTTGCCAAGACAATGAGTGGGGCTGACGCATGGAAAAGCAGTCAGGGCAGGGCAGGCTGTCTCCTGGCCCTGTCCGTGCCTGGGACCCCGGGAAGGGTGGCGAGAGGCGGCCTGTGGTCTGTGCACCCACAACTGCTCCTCCCTCCGCTTTGGACCCTCTCCCCAACTTGCCCCGGGGCGTCTGCTGGGCCCCCACATGGTCTGGCTCCTGGGTCTCTGGACCGCATCCGGAGCTCAATCTTCACACCTGTTTCTCGTGACCGCCCGGGTCCCCACTTCTCTCTCTAGACCCTAAATAGACGTATTTCCCATTCTGTGTCCATCCACCTGTCGTCCGCGTCTCTGCCTCTGTCTCCCGGATCTCTCCCTTTCCTTCCTGCCTACCCCCTTTCTTTCTTTGTGTCCACACCTGTCTCCTCTACATTGCAATCTCCTGCCGCTGTCTCTGCAGATCCTCCCTAGCATCCCTCCACCCTCCCACCTTCCACCCTCCCACAACCTCGGCCTCTTTATAAATAGGACTGAGGATGTGGCTTGGGTAGAGGGTCCCAGCACTCCTACCTGCTGGTTGGCCTGACAGGACCCTCCTGGAGACGTGGAGCCGGGACCCCGCCCCCTGCACGTGGGCGGATGGCGCTGTCCCGGGTGCTGATCACGGATATGGCTGAGCACAGCAGGACCGTGTGTGTGTGTGTGTGTGTGTGTGTGTGTGTGTGTGTGTGTGTGTGTGTGTGTGTGTC